TCTTTTTTTTGCTTAATTGCGAGCTCACGAGACGCGATAGGTTCTTGATCCACGCAAAGTGGCCGATACCGTAGTCGCGTGGATCTTGCATGTACAGGAGATTGACATGCTTGTCCTTCCTGTCACTGGTGAGCTGCAGAGGAAGAACTTGTTTATTCTCGATGCCGTATACATTGATCGACACCGCGTTTAATCATTTGAATTTTGGAATGTCTTTGAATGTTGTCGGAAATTCGATACCCGCGAGATTCAGCACTGTCGTATAATGCGGATACGATGACTCTCGATTTACATTTCTTTCAGCCGGGTACAGAGCGGCGACCACCGACCACGCGAAGCACGCATTGTCCATCGTACTAACATTGATTACCGCTCGTTTCGTCGCTATTTCCCGCGACACCTCGAAGTAACATCCCACGCGCATGGGATTTAGTTTGTTCACATTCACTACCAAATTGAGGATTCGCGACAATGCCCACCCGCTGTCGCGTTCCTGGAACTCTTCGAGTGAGGTCAACGTGGGTTCGATGATATGTTGCTCGTACCACTCGCGCAAATCAGTGTATCGGTATATCTCGCTGTTCTTAAAAATTATGCTCTTATTAGCACTTTTATCCTTCGTCGCAAACTCGCCGTTGAACGCAGTGTTCATTTTTGCACTACCGTGCCTTTCTACGGCGTCTCGCACACGTTCGAGCACTATTTCTCTCGCGTCTTCCAAAAGCCGCTCGGTGTAATCGATGTTGACCACAGCATCCGTCGATATACGGCTTTCAAACGCGGCGTCGATCTCTCGCCAGACGAGAGATCTTTCGTCGCGACTCGCGTATCCGCCACCAACGTACACGAAACGTCGCTCTAATTGTGTCTTTGCACCCGCGAGTCGCGCGATCCTCGCCACCATGGATTGTCTGTGTCCAACGGTGAGGCGCGGACGCTTGGCACGACAAAGCTCTTCGAGCCGCTCGATGCACTGGTCGCATCCACATGGTTGCAGCCACGCGAAACATTCCACCAGAGTAGCGACCTGGCTGCACTGCTCCAACAGTTCGCGTTTCACTCGCTCGTGATTTTCTATTTTTTTCTTTAAATCACGTCACACTTTTCCACGGAGCACTTACACGTGACTCGTTCACACACGTTGCAATATCGCGACATATCTAGATAATCATAATGTTCTAACATTTTTTCATTATGTTTGTTTGTGAAAATGCATTGTTCACACTCAAAGCATTGATCATCGCATCTGTCGAAAAATAGTTTTGGTGCAAGATCGCGATCACGAAATTCCATCCATATATTGTCAATAATCAGCAGTTCGACGCACTTTTCCCTACCTGTAGGAATCTTAATGCAGATGCACCAACCTTGGCTCTTATCTGCGATTTTCTTCGCCCAATAATAATCGTCCTTTATTACATTGACATTTTTATTCCATCAATGTCTTTTTTCATATTCATCGTCCTCGAAACATTTGTCTCGTAACCGTAGATACACTTTTTGTCGCACGAGTAAAGACCAGTCAGAAACGGGCTCTCTGATAACTGTTCCATGTTTCTCATTACGTATACCTAATTCACGATCGCGTAGGAATTGCACTGGCGATATTCCTGCACCTATGTCTCTTTTTTGCAGATTACCGAGAACATACAACACATCATCTACGTTAGAGTCTTCCCACATATTTTTTCAGTAGTGTCTCGCTCACAATACTGTTCACAATAGTTTTTTTCAATGTGTGCAGAGTGGACATATGCTGCATGGAAATATAGTGTACATTTGCATTCCACAATTCGTGCAAGATCGGCTGCCTAGCGCATCAATATAATCGATATCGTGTTTCCTTACAAGATATAATACATTCCTACAACATCGATATCAGCCAAACGTATCATACATGCTGCACACATTCAAGGCACCACCCGTTGTATAGTAGCACTGGATTATGCAATGTTTAGTACGACCGTTCAGTGCGCGGATTTCTGGAGATGATACAAATTTTTCTGCGTGATCCGTATCGAGCTCATTCAAGTCGCTAACACAACCAGTATCATCGGATAGCACTTCTTCGTCGGAATCTTGGTTCATTATTTCTTCAAAATCTACATCCATTTCTTTTAACACTTCGTCTCTGATATTCGCGAACTGTTTAGGATCCACGTTTCTAATGTGCTCGACTACGTTGACTATGTCTTCAACGTTCGCACGATGATCAACCTTACTTTTTTTCCACTATTCTTATTGCGATCGATTCATTCGTCTTCCAGGGCACCAACTGCGGAACTGAGCGCTTATAACTCATTATATATTTCATTTGTGATTTCTTTGTCCCTTTGCCTATTGGGTCATACTTTATTTAGAAATAGATAAGACACCATTTTTGCGAGCGATTATAGTTTATATAAACAACATCAACGCTTCTTTTAACGCGTCGCTACATGTTATCGATCTCTTCTCAGAAAAAAATCGTTATCGACACTTCTTCGAAGAAATTTAAGAGTTGTAGGAACGCAGTGTGATTTCATACGTTTCACTAGGGTATCACATTCATTTTACTGTAGAAGAGTTATGTTTTGCTTAGCAGCCGAACATCGGCGCTTCTCTTAACGCGTCGTGATGGATCATCGATCTGATAGTGTATATAAACAGTGTATATAACTTTTTTTTTTCAATCGTAAATTTCAATTACGAGTGATAAGACATGGATTGTGTAAAAGAATATATACATCGAAAATTGATCGAGCGCAAGGGGTACCGTCCCTTGTCACCAGGTCCGCCAAGTCCATTACCATCGAGGGAAAAAGCACGATATTGGGAACTTCCAGGTGAAAAAGCGAGATATTGGGAATGTCCAGGTGAAAAAGCATCAAAATCGCCAACATGTTCCTCATCGACATCGTCAAAATCGCCAACATGTTCATCATCATCATCAACGTCATCAAAGTATAAGCCAGTTAGTGATATTCTAGCCGTCGATTGCATTCGAACGCTGTCGATCGCGAAAAAAATGTAATAAAATATGAGAAAAAACATGATAATAAGACGCAAATAAAAAATTTCATCCACATCATTTTATATATGTACTTTATTTTTTAGTCTCCATCCGTCCATCCATCCTATGCCTCGACGCGCTATCACTCTCTGTTTATATAAATATTTGCTAGCGCTTCTTTTAACGCGTCTAGGATTTCATAGTCTGGCAACACTTAGAATCTATAGTGCTTAATAATGGTCGCTCTAGCAGTTTCGTCGCAGCACTTTTCGTCGCAGAATACTTTTCAGCGTCAGTCTTTATTGAGTTTGACGTGTGAGAGGTTCGTGTCTTTTTCAAATCATGTAGCGATTTTTTACTGTGAACGATTTTTTTAGTATCGTGCAAAAATATTCTACCATTTAGCGTTAATGGTAGAATACTTTTGCATGTTTTTTTGATTAAGTGTTAGTGAAAGTTATAATAGTGTCATTTTTTTTGTTTTTTGTTTTTTTAGAAAAAAAATTTTTTTTCCGCTGTTTATATTGAGTTTATTTTTTTTTGCTTAAAATTTATTCACCATGAGCAACTTGCAAGAAGTTCTGGAGATCCGATATGAATATCCTGTTGAGGGGGTAATTTTTTTCTTTTTATATGTATATTAAATTTTTTTTATTAAATTTGTTTTTTTCATATTTAATTTTCCTTTTTTTTTTTTCCCCAGTATATTATGGTTGATAATCTAAGAGTAGTACGGCTCCAATTATGAAATGAGGTTGGAGTTCTGATAATTCCTCTGGTAAGTTCAGTATAAATAAATTATAAATAAATTATAAATTATAAATTAGACATAAAGTATTTTTTTTGTAATTCACTTTTTCAAATTTGCTTTTTTTTTTAGGACACGCATCGCAGCCGAGTACGTATACGCGGATTCATCAATATTTTCAACAGAGACATTATTCGTAGTGATAGGCAGCGGGAGCGAGAGGAATTTGAAGAACTGTGGGAGTACGTATCTACATTCAATTTGGAGGAACTTTTTGGCCTCCAACCATACCCACCTGAGCCTGAAGAAGAAGAATGGTGGTAATCGAAAGACATGCAGATATTGAGTGGTTCGTGCGATTTTTTATTGCTAATCGGAAGCAGGTGCTTAAAGTTCGATTTGAAATTAATTAAATTAAATTAAGATCCTGCTTATAAATATTGTAAGGACTATATAATAAGAGCTATATATTGTAAAATTACGTTATATAAAAGTAAACACGCATATTTAAACTATATATCTAGGTGTATGACATTATTTATTCCTTTCTTATTATCGCTATCATATTACGCGTGCCGCCAGCATCTTCGCGCTCAATGGTACTGCGACGGACGGTCATGACGTATTAAGCGTTCTCTCTATTTAAATTATTAAATAAAAAACGTATGATAAAATACTTTTGGGTGCGAGAAGAAAATACAACGAGAGCGACGACGCAGCGGGTAAGATGACAAAACATAAATAGGAGAGAGGTGGTAAGTGTATGCTGTAAGTGTATGCGGTAAGCTTTTGTCACCGATGCATTTTTGGGGGGGGCGGCGGCGGCGGCGGATGAAAAAAATAAGGAATGCATTGTTTATGTGGGTCCTATTACAACGATGCCGCCGGGACTTCCTGCGCCTTCCCCCTCTACCGCGCACTCCTCCGCTCGCGCTCCCCCCCGCGCCTACGAGTACCGTACCCCCCGCGCCCCGCGCTCCCCTCAGAGGTCATGGGTTTCGGACCCGCCTTATATGGCTACTCTACTCAACTTTTATCTAAATTAGAAACTACCAATCTAAATTCATTTACTGGCTTATGAATTCATCTATACGAGTATAACCTACTTGAAAATCACATAGATCTAAAAAACATATAATAATATATAAATATAAATTTTCTTATTATAACAATTAATCCTAACAAAACACTACTCCTATAAAACAACAAATTAAAGTAACCAATTTTAATAACAAAGATATATAAATAAAATAAGCCAATTTAATAAAAAACCCAATTTAAAATAGATCTTACTATCACCCTTAAAAACATTATTATTATTATAGACAAATTAATCAATTTATCCTCCTTAATGTATATATATCTGTAAAACACTTTACAACTAACAAACTTTACCCTTCTATTAAAAAATAAATAATAAAAAAATCGCACTGAATAAGAAACTGTCAATAACAAAGATAAAATAACCAATCTTAATATAACTACATTAATTCTCCTCTCTCTATAAATAACCTCCATAATTAAATCTTTCCTATAAAATTCAGACTTAAATGGCACACCACTCAATGCTATATTTGATACCATTAATCTTATTATTATTGTACAAACGGAATTATCTCATTTAAATTCCCCAATAATCGAATATCCTGCGTATTTTTTATTATATGAATTACAGTCCCAGCAGCTATAAATAACATTGATTTAAAGATAGTATGAACCAATAAATGATAATAAGTTAATATCCTATATCCAAAACTTAAAATTATTATCATTAATCCTAATTGCCTTAAAGTAGATAAAGCAATAATGTTTTTAAAATCATTCTCAAAATTTGCCATTACCCCTGGCATAAACATAGTAATGATAGACAAAAATCTCAAAACAAATCTCACACTTGAAACTATTAAAAACTTATTAAAACAAATTATTAAATATACCCTCGCAGTTATCAAAGTTGACGAATGTACTAAAGTAGAAACAGGTGTAGGAGCTACTATTGCCAAAGGAAGCCACACTGAAAAAGGAACTTGCGCCCTCTTAGTAATTTCTGCTAATATTATTAATAATATTTCCTCCCCTCCATTAAATATTACTAAATCCCACCTCCCAATCATTATCATTATACAATACTTCTAGTCATTAAAATCTCAACATCTCCAATACGATATTACATAATACCGTAATCATATCCGAATTATAAGAACTATAATTTTGATAATAAATAATTAAACAATATGATACTATCTCCAACCCATCCCAACCAACCAAAATTCTAACCACATTTGGCCTAATTACCATTAATACAATAATAATAAATTAATATAAGTAATAATAATAATAATAATAATAAATTAATTAATC